TGGCAGTTTTACCACCCCACCTCTCGCCGTGTTCTGTCCTCCCAGGACGTCACGTTTGACGAGTCGGTCCCCTACTACCGCCTCTTCCCCTACCGCACTCCGTCCCTCCCCCCACCCCCACTCTTCCTGGTACCAGGTCCCCCCCAGGTAGACCCCCTCCCCCCTCAGGGTCCTGCCCCTTCAGGTGTGTCCCAGGTAGATGCAGTCGAGCCTGTCGAGGTCACTGGTGACTCTGGTGCTGCTGAGGGTGCTGAGGCTGGGGGTGCTGTACCTGGGGGTGCGGAGCCTAGGGGTGCTGGGCCTGGGGGTGCTACGTCTGGGGGTGCTGAGCCTAGGGGTGCTGAGCCTGGGGGTGCTGAGCCTAGGGGTGCTGAGCCTGGGGGTGCTGAGCCTGGGGGTGCTGAGCCTAGGGGTGCTGAGCCTGGGGGTGCTGAGCCTAGGGGTGCTACGTCTGGGGGTGCTGAGCCTAGGGGTGCTACGCCTGGGGGTGCTGAGCCTGGAGGTGCTCCGCCTGGAGGTTCTCCGAGTGCTTCGTCTCGCCGGGAGCCACTTTCTCCACAGGAGCTGCGTGAGTGGTTTGCCCGGCGCTGGAGGCGTGCTGCTGGTGCTGGAGGTCCTTCGACTGCTGAGGGTGCTGCGGTCGCGGGTCCCAGAGGTGCTCGTCCTGGGTGCACTGGAGCTGGTGCTGCTGAGGGTGCTGGCGCTGAGACTACCGCTGGCAATCCTACTGGGGGTGCTCCTGGTGCTGCTGGAGGTTCTGGAGCTACTGGTGGTGCTGCTGGAGCGGGTGCTCCTGCTGAGGGTTCTGGTGCTGTCCCTGCTGCTTCTAGCGTCGCCGCGCGGCCTCGACCGTACTTCGTGCCACTCCTGCAGCAGGTTCTTGGTCTTCCACCTTCTACTGGTCCTCCTCCTCCCTTAGAGTGTCCACAGCCTGTCTCGTCCCAGCTACAGTTGCAGCCTACCTCCCCTTTGCCTGCTCCTTCTCCCTACACTGGTCCTACTGGAGGTCTGGCTGAGCGTCGTGAGCCTGCGTCTCGCCCTACGTCGCCTGTCCGTGCTGCTCGCACTAGTGGTCGCGGTTCGCGTCAGCGTCCTCCTCCTGTCCCTGGCACGCACCGGATGTCTCTGCGTCCGTCCACTGCTCCTCTGCGTGCCCCTTTGCCTTCTCCTCCTGAGTCCTCTCTTCCTGCTCTTGCCGACCCGGAGTCGGACTCTCTTCGTGCTGCCAGTCCTACTGTCACGCGTCTCCTTGCTACTGTTGTCACTGACCCTTCTTTCGAGTCTACTGCTGCGTCTGCTCTAGTTACTGAGCTCGTCGACTTTGCTGCTCGCTGTCGCTTAGACTACGCTGCTAGTCTTGTCGCTGAGTCTGAGTCTGTCTGTCCTCCGTCCGTCGGGGGTGAGTGTGCCCTTGGCACGGACGTCTTTGAGGACAGGCAGGAGGAGTTCCAGTGTCTGGCAGCTGCCTCACCTCATCTCGTGTCCGTACTGCTTACCCCTGAGGGAGACCCGGATGCACTTGACATCCCGACTCCGCGCTCTTACGCGGAGGCGATAGAGGGTCCCTACTCCTCTCAGTGGCAGGCAGCTATGGATGCAGAGATGGCTTCCTGGAAGTCCACAGGCACCTACGTTGACGCTGTCCCCCCTCCTGGGGCGAACATCGTCAGTGGCATGTGGATCTTCAGGGTGAAGCGGCCGCCGGGTTCTCCGCCTGTCTTCAAGGCGCGTTACGTGGCTCGTGGCTTCAGTCAGCGGCAGGGAGTTGACTACTTTCAGACCTTCTCCCCCACCCCGAAGATGACCACTCTTCGGGTACTGCTGCACGTTGCTGCTCACCGTGACTACGAGCTGCACTCTCTTGACTTCAGCACAGCTTTCTTGCAGGGCAGCCTGCACGAGGAGATCTGGCTGCGTCGCCCACCTGGCTTCACTGGGTCTTTCCCTTCTGGTACCCAGTGGAGTCTCCGGCGTCCAGTCTACGGTCTCCGCCAGGCGCCACGTGAGTGGCACGACACACTGAGGACTACACTTGCGGCTCTTGGGTTTGCTCCTTCTACTGCCGACCCGTCGCTGTTTCTACGCACCGACACCTCTCTGCCGCCGTTCTACATCCTCGTGTACGTCGACGACTTGGTCTTTGCCACAGCTGACACTGCTGGACTCGCCTACGTGAAGTCCGAGCTGCAGAAGAGACACACGTGCACAGACCTAGGTGAACTGCGCAGCTACCTTGGCTTGCAGATCACCCGGGACAGAGCACGCCGCACCATTACCCTGACTCAGTCACACATGGTGCAGCAGGTCCTTCAGCGCTTCGGCTTCACGTACTCCTCGCCTCAGGCCACTCCTCTGTCTACTCGCCACTCGCTCTCAGCTCTGCCTTCGGATGAGTCCGTAGAGTCGAGTGGCCCGTACCCAGAGCTTGTTGGCTGCCTCATGTACCTGATGACCTGCACACGACCTGACCTTGCATACCCTCTTAGCATTCTGGCACGCTATGTTGCTCCTGGGAGACAAAGACCAGAGCACATGGCTGCAGCGAAGAGGGTGTTGCGCTACTTGTGCAGTACGTCGGGCATGGGACTAGTGCTTGGAGGGCGGAGTCCAGTGGTCCTCACTGGGCACGCGGACGCTTCTTGGGCTGACGACCAGGCTACGCAGCGGTCGTCACAGGGTTACACCTTCAGCCTTGGTTCCGGCTCTGTTTCGTGGCGGGCTACTCGCTCGTCTTCTGTTCTTGGCTCGAGTTGTGAGGCTGAGATCTACGCCGGGGCCATGGCTGCACAGGAGCTTCGCTGGCTCACCTACCTGCTGACCGACCTTGGAGAGCCGCCTCGTTCTCCTCCAGTCCTGTACGTAGACAACAAGGCCATGCTGGCCTTGTGTCGAGAGCAGCGACTGGAGCACAGAACAAAGCACATTGCTCTCCGCTACTTCCTTGCTCGTGAGCTACAGCAACGTGGTCAGTTGCGGCTTGCGTACGTGGCCTCTGAGGCCAACACTGCTGATGTCTTCACCAAGGCACTTCCACCTTGTGATCATCAGCGCTTCTGCACTCAGCTGGGTCTTGTGCCCGTCTTGCCTCACTTGCTCTCCTCTTGACCTTGCCTGTACTCTCACATATATATATACCTGCTCTTGCTTGTCTAGCTTTATATATATGTGTGTACTCTTGCATGTGAACTGGCCGTGTGGCCTTGACCCTGTGCTCGGACTGTGTGGTGACTTTGTGATCCACCCTGAGCTTGCTTTGCTTTACTTTGCTTGACTGGTCTTGTGACCCCTTGTTCTCCCCCACTTTGCCTATGGGGGTGTGTCAGAACATTATAGCTTATGCTGTTGTGTAGGCTATAGTGGGGTATCCCATAGGGGGTACAACCAATTAGGGTTTCATATTTGTACCCACTTCATTTCATAGTTCATTCATTCTTGTTCAAATCTTCTCACACCCGCCCACCTTCCCCTCGCAGCAAAGACACTACGAAGAAGCGCCGCGGCTGGACCGTGCGTGAGAAGGTTAAGTGGGCGCGCCGCTATCAGGAGCTCAGCTCCTTGAAGAAGACTAGCTTGGAGTCAACCGCGAGCGTCGCCTGCATCAGACGCTGGTGCGCGGAGGCGGCTGCGGGCATCTACAAGGGCGCGGCTAACTGCCGCAAGCGGATGCACGGGGGGGGGCCGCCACGCACACTACCCCGACATGGAGGCAGCGTTGTACCGCTACATCTGCCTTCAGCGCGCTAACGGGGTGGCCATCTCGGTGAAGGACACCCAAAAGTGGAGCCGCGAGTGGATGAAGAAGCATTACCCCGGCAAGAACTGGAACGCGAGCTCTCACTGGAGCCAGCGTTTCCGTGACCGCTGGAACCTGGTGATGCGGGTGAAGACGAAGGTCGGACAACGTCTGTCGGCAGGTGCGTGGATAAGGAGTTCGTGCCGCGCACGGCCCATTGTATGCATGTCTTACCTTGCTCGTTGTCTAACCGTCCCTCGCTTCTGTTCCTGTCCCGTTTGCAGAGTGCGCGAAGGACTGCGAGTCCTTCTGGAAGTTCGTGCGCATCAACAGGGCGCGGCACAACATCGACCTGGCCCGTATCATCAACGCGGACCAGACGCCACTGTTCGTGGAGATGCCGGCCGAGAGGACGATCGAGCACCGTGGCGCGCGCTCGGTCCCAATCCGCACTGCAGGCTACCAGAAGACGCGCTTGACGGTGATGCTCGCGTGCACTGCATCCGGGGAGAAGCTGCGGCCGTGGGTGTGGTTCAAGATGAAGAACGTCCCCAACTGTGAGATTCCGGACGGTAAGCGCCATGACTTCAACCTTGCCTCTGCCTCATGAGCGTGCCCCACTGTGCTGATGTCCGTCTGTCCCTTGTGTGCCTGGCAGGAATCGTGGTCCAAGCACAGGACAACGGGTGGATGGACGAGAGCGCTGTGCAGACCTGGCTGTCCAAGGAGGTGCTTCCCCATCTGAACCCCCAGCGCGGCAAGAGCGCGAGGCGTGCGATGCTGGTGTTGGACTCCTACCGCGGCCACATCACCCAGACCATGCTTCAGTCGTACCGCACGCACAGCATCACCCCTGCAGTCATTCCAGCGGGTTGTACGAGCCAGATTCAACCCCTGGACGTCTCCATCAACCGGTGCTTCAAGGCTGCCGTGCGAGCGCGCTACGCCAGGTGGTTCATGCGTGAAGGGATTCACCTGAAGACAAAGAAGGGTGAGTTGGCTGTTCATTTTAAATTCCTGCTCTGTTTCGTGTCCTTATCGTTAACATCTCGCTGCCGTGTCCTCTGTCCCACCCGCAGGGAACCTGCGGAGGCCTCCGCACCCCGTGGTGCTGCAGTGGATCGCGGAGGCTTGGGATCAAGTCCCCAGGCAGATCATCATCGACGCGTTCCGCCACTGTGGGATCTCCAGCAAGCTGGACGGAACGGAGAACCACCTGGTGATGTCTCACCTGCGCGCCAGGAGCACCACCGATGTCTCCGAGGACATGTCCCTCGGGGGGACCACAGGCGACAACACGCGCCTGCTTCGGAAGGCTCCAGAGGAGGAGGAGGAGGAGGAGGAGGAGGAGGAGGAGGAGGAGGAGGAGGAGGAGGAGGAGGAGGAGGAGGAGGAGGAGGAGGAGGAGGAGGAGGAGGAGGAGGCGATGCAGGCGGAGGGCGTGCGGGAGGTGGCCGTGGCAACTGGCCTGGAGGTGCTGTACCAGGAGACCCCCAACTACCGCGGAGCGGCGGCCGAGGCTGACCGCATGATCGAGCCAAGGGAGACGGCTAGGCATGCCTGGCGAGTGCCAGACCTGGGCGTAGAGCCTGTTGCTAGTGCTGCAGAGGAGGCTGTTACTGAGGGGGGTTAGGTAGAAGTAGGGATTCATGAATGTATGGATGTACCCCCCTAAAGTAGTGTAGGCTCGTTTAGAAGACACCCCCTGTTTATAAGAAAACCCCTAAACCCCGGTTCTGATTATAAGACATATATGTCTTATCTCGTACACACAAATAGGTGTCGTATAAAAAGGCTTGCCTGTTTATAAGAGACACCCGTATAGTAGACAACCCCTGTCTACTATTCAACACTGTCTTATATCCGGGCGATGACGGTAGTTTGGCAAGAGATTCTGCATTGCACTGAATGCATACATGTATGCTAGAATTGTCCTCCCCTCTCCACTCCACACACGAGTGTTGTTTCAGTTGTAGGCAGACTTGGAAGGGTCAAACTAGTAAGGTGATGGCTGTTGTGTGACTGCTACGGTAACATGGGCTGTTCAAATCAGTAGCTTGTATCGCCCGGATACAAGGAACATTTTTCCTCACTTACATGATACACCAGCGAGTACTAACCAGTGTGAGGAGGATAAAGTGGTCATGCACAGCAGCATAATTGTTGGTGGCTGCTCACTTGCCTTCCTCACACCAGTTCTTTGATAGACTGGGAAAGTGGTGCACGCGTTTCAATACATTTCCATTTTCTAACAACACATGTACACGAAATAAACCAAACTCGTTTCTGAGCTTGAGCCTGAAATCTAGGTATCTGTTTACCTGGCTGGAACATCGATCCAGCCACTGGCGAAGGCAATCCCGAGAATGATAAAGGGCGTCAGGAGCCCCAAAATCGCGATGTAAGGAAGAACTGTACTCATGGGACCCTTTCCTTCTCTCTCCGATTCACTCTGCCAATACCTGAGGGGGAGGGACGAAAACGCAGAACATCAGTGAGCGTTAGTATTGTGCATCATGTGAGGTTCGTTAGATTCTTCTGCGGTAAAACGGCACGTGGCTGACCGAATTACTATTTCTTCGTAGCGTGTTCTCAGCGGTTGGTATTACTGTGACAAAAGGGAAAACTTACTCATCAGGCTCCTCCGCTTGGGTAATAAACTTCTTCTTCTCAGTCTTGTCGTCACCTGAGGGACGCATTGAGATGGTCATGGAAGGGAATAAATTAAGCAGGGAGCGACGAGCTGCTGATCGAGGAATTGTGCGAACGAGAACCCGAGTAATGTGATGCAATGCGTGAAAGGCTGAAGAAGAAAACAACACCCAAACATGGCATCGCCAGAATGAAAGCTAGCTAGTGAGTTAAGACATACCTCCGCCGAGCATTGCGTTAATCTGGGTAGGTCTTCTCAAAGCGGATCGGCATTGGAGATTGACGGTCGGAAGACGACGTGCCACGAGGGACGTGGAGGCGCTGAGTGATCTTCTCTCCGAGGTTTGACACTTGAGGACGGCGGAGACTGGTGCGGAAATGCCGGCGACAGTTGCGGACGCCATTGCAACCTTTAGTTAGCTGGATAACCGATTTCTGCTATGGAGTTTGCACGCAGCTCTAGCACGCCCAGAACAGCTAACTGAATACGGAGACAGACAACCTCTAGTCTACACGGAGATTCCGGCAACAATTATTATGGAAATGGTTTTCTTTGATAACGAATTTCTGAGCAATGTTTGAGTGGTGGTGCTGATGCTTTCAATCGATTACCAGAATTCCAGATTCCCAGATTGCATTCCTGCTGCCACGACTGAGGGGGGAAGGGCTGTGTAAATTTCTGGCGATGCGTCCTGCGGGCTGCTGGGGGGGACGTCACTACCAAGTCCAGCAAGGCAAGCTGTCGTGCTGTTACAAGGTGACGCGTCAGAGTCCCAATTGGTTATTATGGGCCAACATCATAGGCATGCAAAATAGTCTGGTAACCCTATGCAATTGTATGCAAAACCGTCGATACCTCATTTTGGAGTTAATTACGTATTTACCTAATACCGCGTTTTTATTTTACTTGACCACTGATTTCGTCCGCGCTTGGCTTTGCGCTACAAAATGATTTCTTCGGGCAGCTGTTTTCGCCAGATTAGCAACACTGTTCACTACCTGACCCAAGGAAAAAATAAAACCCAATCGGAAAGGGATGCGACTCGGGGAGGCATCAACCCTAAAAACAATGCCCTTTCCCGTGTTTAGGGTTGATCCCTCCCGAAAATGCGTCCAGGTTCTTATGGGTTTTATGTTTTCCGGCCCTGCCCTAACAGTTCCCGGTAGCGTCGTCATCGTATACTTTCATTCCAACAGAATTTCCCGCTAAACGTATCGTGCACATTTAGCGGAAAATTGTTGCCCGAAAAAATCGTTGTTAGGCGCCAAACAAAGCGCGGTAAGAACCACTAAAAAAATAAATCGAAAACGCAATCGATTTCTTCCTTTTTGTGCTACGTCAGCTGTTACACAGTGTTTTCGAGTGGCGGTACCAGACAAATTTGCGCAGCAAGACTGGGGTATCGACGGTTTTGCATACAATTGCATAGGGTTACCAGACTATTTTGCATGCCTATGATGTTGGCCCGGTTATTATCGATCACTTTCGTTCTGTCGCTCCACGTCACCAATGACTGATGATGTGGGGCTTGTTGTAGCGTCAGAGCAAATGCGAGCCGTGTCAGCATTCGGTGTGTTCATTGCGAAGCCACACGCAGCTCGTGCGAGCGTCGTGGAGCTTCGTGAGCCTTTTCTGTAGTTTCACGAGGAAGATACTCCATTATTGTGTGAGCCTTTCATAGTTTCGAAATTTCAGAACAGACAATGCTTAATTTTGCTAAATAAAACTATGTGCATGATAGGGGAATGCCCAACAATCAAACGTCTCCAGTAGGAGACGAAAAAAAATACTATCGAGCACGAAATGTACTCGGACAAAGCTGAGTAGCATGTAACTTCTAGCAGCAGGGCTTCATGAATTAAATAGAAGCTCCTCCACATGTAGCCTTTTCATTTGCACAAGGAAGTTCAACTCCTCCCACAGAAAAGAGATCCGACCAGCTGAGTCAACCAGCAAAGTTCCATTCACCCACTGAGGGTTCTTGAAGTTGTAGTCTGCTATTCTCCCTTCCCCTTCCAATCTGAAAGAGAAACATACCAAGCAGATTGGGAAAAAAAAGTACATGAGTCACATGAGCAGGAACAATAAGATCATGCACAATCTTGCAAGAAGCAGCCTCATCAGATGGAGAGTGTGTGCTGATGAAAACAGGCCATGTGAAGGGAATGGAAGCAAGGACAGATACTCACAAGTTTGAGAACTGAAGCTGTTGTCCCAGAGCAGGATCCGCCGCTTGGCCTTGCGCCTGGATCAATCTTCTCGCCTGGCCCACCACTTCATTCCACCGCTCACTCTCGTCAGCAGCAGTTTGCACCGAGTCGATCCGAGCCTTGAACGAAACATGCCCTCCGGGCACATTGGGATCTCCAACGATTTTCGTAGCAACAATTTCACCGTTCTCAACCGCAACGTTGAGAATTTCCACCCCATGCTGCCCGAACACGCCCGTCCAGAGGCCCTCGAGATCTCGCACCCACGCGGGCAAACGAGATCTGGATGAATCCGTTCCCGAGGTGTCCCTGTCTCCTCCTCTTGACGCTGATTCGCTCGTTTGAATCTCTCCCGCAACAGGCACGCGATGATAGGTGGACTTCGGCACAGGTACCCTTTTAGTCTGCCCGTCGGACCATTCCGACGGTTGCTGACTCCCTTTTTGCTGCCCGAACACATTCCCACCCTTTCCGCAGGAGCTTCCGCCGAATCCCGCGAACGCCCCTCCGCCAGCCCCCATACGTGCGCCAAGGCAGTGTGACTCGTCCGCGTAATGAAGCGCGCCAATTGCTCGCCGCTTCAGCGACCACTCCGCGCTGCTGGCGGAAGGCACAGCAGAGGCGGAACTCCCCGCGGCGGAAGCCGTGGCAGAAGCCCCCGCGGAAGTACCGCGGGAAGCAGAAAAAGCCACTTGCGGGGGAGAAAGCGCCGCAGCCCCGCTGGTAACCGCGACGTCATCATTGCCGCCGCGTGTGTCTCTTGTCGCTTCCACCCGTGACCGTAACCTTCTAGATTCGTCAGGCGAGGCCTCGTTATTGTCACACTCGGATCTAGTACGCTTGGATGGAGTCGCCGCGGCAGCCTTCGACGGAGAGCTTCCGGAATCTTGTTTCAACCCAGTCAAATATTGCAGAGCGCGAAGCTGAAGGCGCTTCGAGCTTTCTTCCTCCTTCCCCGTGGGACTAACGGCTCCCCCTTTGAGGAGGTTAGCGCCGCCGATGCTGAGCCCCGATTGGCTGAATCGTTGCTGAAGCCGCCTCGCTCCACTCGACGCTGTAGCGCGGCTCGTTTCAAGCTGCTGCTGCTGCTGCACGGTTGACACGGTGCCACTGCTCCCTGCAGATCGGCTCGGGGGAGGGCGCGGCGGTAAAGAAGGCACGGCTGCGCGAGCAGCGGAAGGAAGCACGGCTGTAGCAGCGGAAGCTGAAGCAGTCGGGAGCACGGCCGAGAGAGGACCGGCTGTAGCGGCAAATCGGGCCAGGCCAGCTCGCTGAAACGTCGCCTTGAGCCTCTCCGCAGCGCCCAGCGACGACAGCGACGACGCAGACGACGGCCCCGCGACGACCCTCTTCAGGGGCACCGCCGGTGGCGACACCCGGTTACCATCAACCTTGGCGAAGGGCGACGCGGCGAAGATAGCGGGGGAGCGGGACGAGGGCGGGAGGAGCGTCTGCAGGTGGAATTTGGCGCGCGCGGGGGACTCCCAGACGAGCACGCCGGGCAGCTCGAGCGGAAACTCGTCGTCCGCGCCCCTCCCCGTGACCAGGCTGAGCTGCGTCGTGCCGTCGGGGAAGGCGGAGATGGTGAAGAGGCGCGCGGAGATGAGATTGCCGTCTGCGGGGGGGAAGGGGAGTGGGGGAAGGGGAAGGGGGAAACGGGGAAATTGGAAATTTGAAGGGGTGAAATGAGGATTCCGGAGTTGGGTGCTGGGGAAAAGGCAGGAGGGTAGGAGGTAAGGAGGAGAGGGGGGTAAGGGGGGGGGAGGGAGGAATGTACAAGCCGAATCGCATTAAGAGGCTCGAAGTGCTGATAGCAGCAAACTTACCAAGCCAATCGGGGATGATTCGATAAGCGACAACAGCCATGCGCTCCCATGTGACGTATAGCAGCCCGCCCCGGGGAGCCAGATCCTCCGCCGCCCACACCCCCACCAGGGGACTCAAGGTGTGTAACAGGCGAAACAGACAATTCGCCGAGTTCGCGTGCACGACCCACTCGCTGAGCGCCAGCTGGCCCTCCCACTTCCGGCAGAGAGTCAGCCACGTGTTGGGCTGGTCGATGAGCCCGTGTAGGGTGCGACACGTCAGCGAGGCGGCGATGAGATCCCGGGGTTTCAAGCGGTGGAGAATGGTACAGATGGTGTCGAGGGGTAGATCCAAGAGCCCAGTGCTGCTGCTGGTGCTGCTAGTAGCAGCAGAACTAGACCCTGTGCCGTGCTGGTGAGTCACAGCGGTTCGGAATGCTGAGATCGTCATGGTTGTGCGATCCAAGGTCCAATTGAACCCTTAATTCTTCTACAATTCAACAACTAATGATCTCTCCCGCTTCTTGCTGCCAGCTATAACAGATTCGAAACTTGGGTGGCTATGTCGGGTGTAATTCAGATCATATAGCTAAGACTCCGCGCTGGGAGGGAGATGGAGAGTGATAGCGGGTGCGAGAGGACCAGTAAAGACTTCTAGAAGTAAAAGAGGCTAGGCTCTACGGATGCATGAACAGGCCCAGAAATATCTTCAAGGGTCGATCGCGGAGGACCAGTACACGAGTCCGGATTCTATTGCCTCGTCGTCTGCTTCGATTGCGCTTTGCGCGCTGCCTATTGGACGATTGTGCCTAGTCTGGGAAGTGTTGGACGATTGTGCCTAGTCACCGATAACTAACGACGAGATAACCGGCCAGGGCGGTCGACTGGAAGCAGCAATCGACTTGACGGACCCTGACTTCGGCCAAGGAGCACTGCTGGTTCTAGCTGGCAACTAACGACGGCTAAAATATCTCAATAGGTCGCGCATGTTGACCACATGCGTTTCGCGCAAGCTGGTGCCCTAAAAAGGCTGAAAAGAACGGATTTGGCATCAAATAATATGCTCCGTTCGTTTGCGAGCAGGCGGTGCTGACAGCTGGAGTTGCTCGACTTGCCTTCGCCACGCGTGTGAGCGACGGCGTGCGATATCTCTCGAGATTCGCAGGAAGCTGGATTGACGGAACGCGTCGACGACATGACGCCGAGCAAATGTACGGGCCCTGAACTCCTGGGGTGAGTGGTATTTCATGCTGCAGGAGAACCCGAGAAAACGAGCGGTTTGGGTTTGGGAGGGCTCTGGGCTGGGGTTCCTACCGTATCCTGGGAGTCCAACGAAGCGGCACGGTAGGAGGGAAAAACACGCGAGACGGAAATGGAGAGAAAGGAGGAGTTGAGACTTGAGGTGTCGCACCGAGGTGAAAGGGGGTGACGCTTTCCTGACAAGACTCGAGACTGAGTGGGTGGGAGAAGGGTTTCTTCCAGGACTCTGAGATGACATACAGCTGAAATGAGGGCGAGGGTGGGGAGTTTTTTGGGGTTGGGCTGGGTGGGGTTGGGTGGGGGTGGGTGGGAGTGAGTGGGTGGTGGGGATGAGGTGAGGAGGGCAGAATGGGGTGGGTTGAGGTTGGGGGGTCATTTGGTGAGGTACTGTACAGTGACGCACGTATGATGTTTGCAGAACCAAAGGAAGAACGAATCGTGAACGGTGATCAGTGAAAAGGGAGGTGGCCGCATTTTAGGGCGAAGAGGGAAATCTCGCTTCCCTCCCCCTCCAACATTTTCTGCTTTGCTTCTGGAAAAGGGTACAGTGCACGTATGTGGCCCAAAACCAGTGCTGCGATTTGAAACAAACCGAAATGAATGGAAGTGAAGAAATGCCGTTGGTAGCCAGGTTCCTCTGCAAGTGTTTCAAAGCTGCCCGCCCGAGGCAAGCCCAGATGAACATTCAGGGCCAAGTACAGCAGCAAGAGCAGCCGCAGCTGCTGCAGCAAGAGAGAGCACGCCTCTCCCCCTCCCCACAACCTCTCCCCTTCCCCTCCCTCCTTACCGCAACTCATCAGCGAGACTTGCGAGGGCGGTTCACCCCATGCGCACCGTGCAGGGAGGAGCCAATTGGTAGCGATGTGCAACAAAGCATGCTGGGCGAAATGGTGCGAAAACGCAAGTCAGAGCACCGCGAAGGCTGACGAAACTCTGCGAGGCTTTCCGAACGAAGCACTTGCAGTACAGGTTCAGTTGCACAGTGCTTTGGCCGTCCAGCCCCCAGCCAATGTCCACGCGGCAACAGTGCGTCATGTGCACGATATTTTTATCATGACACATTCGCACGCGCCGGTCCACTTTCCAATCAGCAGGCCAAAAATGTTGGCTGACCCAACAACTATATTCGAGTCGCCCTGAACGAAGATAAGCTTTCGCGCAACATCCATCAAATGGATTCGGCCTTCACAGGTTCACCCTCCCTCGAATTCATCTCCCTTCGAAAACAGGGCAGCATCCGTGCAACTGATCCACCGCTCATTATAAATCTTCCAGGTGGCGTGCGCTGGTTAGTAAATACGGCAACCTCACGATTTTGCCCGCCACGTCGACTAGTCAATACGTAGAAAGCGAAAAATCCTCATAAGTAGCTGGGCCGGAATATCAAACCCGAAACCCCTTAACCTGAATGGGCTACATTGTAACAACACGAACAATATAACAATAAACTCTCGACACCTGTGAATTACAATGGTGCACTGCAGTAAACAAACATGCATTGTAATTTGTTTTTACTATGGGATGTTGTGAATTCTGCACGTAATGTTGGATGTTAAGGTATGCAGTATTCTCAGAGAAAACCAGACTAGTATTCACACGAATCTATTTATCCAAGAAGATGTGTGTGGCTTACTACGTACCGTACGTGCTCTTGCATGCAATAAAAATCTCGAGGAAAAATCCATATGCAATAAGTGTGCGCATGCAGTTCTCACGTGGACGGTGCAATGCCAGGACGCCAGGGCTTGCATCTTGCTCAACAAATACAGTCGCTCGCACCGCACGATATAAGCCTGACTGGACCCAAGGATCGAACACCCTGATAACTCTTAAGAGTAGCTAGCAACGGAATGTGTAGAATAGAAAGGGATGGGGTACAAATATGCAAACCTATAAACTGTACCCCCTATAAGGCACCTCACTACAGCCTACAACACATATTATATTTTGACACACCCCCACAGGCTACGTGAGGGGCATCAAAGCAAGCAGGGTGAACAAACGGTCACAAGACCAGTCAAGACAAGAAGCAAAGCAAGCTCAGGGTGGATCTCAAGGACACCACACAAATTCCGAGCACAAGCAAGCGGCCACAAGGCCAAATCAGAGAGCACAATATATATAAAGGCAATGATAAGCAGAACACGCAACACGAGCAACACTACAGCAACCGTGGGCCTGCCTCAACAAGCCCTAGCTGCACACAGAACCTGTGGTGGTCACCAGACGCCAAGGCCTTGGTGAAGACGTCGGCAGTGTTGGCCTCTGAGGCCACAAAGTCCAAGCGTGCCTGGCCGCGTCGCTGTAGCTCTCGCAGGAGAAAGTACCTCACGTTAATATGTTTCACTCTGCTCTCCAGTCGAGGCTCTCGACACAGGAGGATCATGGCCTTGTTGTCAGCGTACAAGGTTGGTGCAGAGCGAGGCCGCTCACGAAGGTCGGTGAGCAAGAAGGTCAACCAGCGAAGCTCCTGTGCCGCCATGGCACCAGCGTAGATCTCTGCCTCTGAACTGGACGAAGCCACAGACGACGACCGTGTAGACCTCCACGACACAGCACCAACACCCAGACTGAAGCAGTAACCCTGAGTCGAACGCTGAGTCTCCTCGTCGTCAGCGTAGGAAGAGTCGCAGTGACCGGTCAACTCAACTGGCTGTGTCCTTCCAAGCACAAGCCCTATGCCTGATGTAGTCGCCAGGTACTTCGCCACCCTCACAGCAGCTGTCCAGTGAACAGGACGGTGTCTCCCAGTCGCAACAAAGCGAGAAAGGACGCTGAGGGGAAAGTCGAGGTCTTGCCGAGTAGGCAAGCATCCTAGACTACGAACACGCGAGTACACAGATCCATCAGCACTATAGTCAACATCAGCATACAAAGCATACTGACGAGCATCGTCCATAGACAGTTCAAATACAGGAATCTTACGGGCTAGCAGGCGAGCCCAGCGCGGGGTGGTCGCCTTAGGACCCCAGCGTGCATGGTAGAGGTCGTCAAGGCGGCGGAAGCACCGCGCCGCAGAGTGGTCGTAGCGGTCGCAGACACAGGGACTGCCCGGTCCGGTGACGCACCAGTGGTAACAGGGGCCGGTGTCGCGCCGGGGGGGGGGGGGGGGGGGGCGCGGGGCCCAACTGGTAGTGCTGCTGCTGCGGCCAGTGCTCCCAGGTCCTCCAGGTCCCCATTGTGGCGGAGGGCCCCAGTGCTGCTGCGGACCCCACTGCAGTGGGGGTCCTCACGACTGAAACTGATGTGGTGCCTGCCATTGGTGCTGTCCCTGCTGCTGTTGCTGCTGTCTCTGCTGTGGCTGCTGCTGCTGTGGTTGCTGCTGCTATGGCTGCTGCTGCTGGGGCCCCGCACCACCGCTGGTCGAACCTCCTCCAGCAGGTCGGCCAGCACCTCCTCCAGGGCTCCCTCCGCCTGGTGCACCACCGCTGCCGCCCCCACTGCCGCCCCCAGTGCCGCCTCCACCACCGCCACCTCCTCCACCGCCGCCACCCTCCTTCCCCCCTTTCTTGCCACCCTTGCCCCGTTTCTGCCGGTCAGCGGCAAAAACAGCTGCAGTGTCCTTAGAGACCGACAAAGCAGCCGAGGCACAAGTAGCAGTGAAGGTGGGAAGCTGGGGTACAGCACACCCCTCAAACAGACGAGGAGCGACTGCGTTAGTGGCCTAGGCAACAGAGAGGAGGTTACTCTCGATCTTTCGGAGAGTGGTCTCGAGAAGATCAATCGTAAGCTCACTGGGGTGCTGCTGGAGAAGCGCGTCACGGGCAGTGGAGAGGCGGTCAGGGAGACGAGTGACTACCCAGTGGACGGTGAGCCAGATAGGAGGGGGAGCAACAAGAAGCTGAGCCTTAGTGCAGGCTGCACGGTAGCTAGCGACAAGGGAACGCAAGTGAGTGGCTAGGTCGGAGACAGTCGCAAACGAGCCGAGGTCGGGAAACACGAACGGCATGAGGATGCGGCTGAGGGAGGCAGAGGAAGGGGTGGAATAGCGTGCAGAGATAGCATCATAAACCCCCTTCGTAGTCTCTACCAGGTCGAAGTGAACGGCCTCAGTCGGTGGAAGGAGCTCTGTCAGCGCAAGAGCAGCCGCAGCGTCACGGGAGTCCCAAACGTCCCGCGCCAAGACGAGACGATCGTAGTCCGCCTGCGCCTCCGAAGTCGGTAGGCAGGGGCTCGGGACGCCGGGGTGCC